CCCAGCACACACCACACACACACACACACACACACACACACACAAAGGCTTTTGAAATAAATGTACTTGAGAGAGGGGAAAGTGAGTTGATTTAGGAAAAAATGATAAGTAAAATATAGCATAGGAGATATGCAGATGTGACAAGAATCCTGCAGGTTGTTCATGCTTCTTGGAACCCCGTGGCTGATTTGGAAGTCAAATCCCAAATCAAAACAATCTTCAGCACTACATAAATAGAATTGCAGAGAAAGTCAGGGTCTTTGGAAGGACAATTCATGCAGCGATTAGGATTTTGAGAAATTATGCATGAGGATGAATTTAGAGTTTGGGGATAAAGGCTCAGGCAGGAGTGAGGGATGATGGAGCTGGGGATATGCCAAAAAAAGGGGGGGTCTCCTAAAGTCCCAAATCCCCCTGGAAAAGGGAGTTTTCCCTTGACCAGAGCAAGAGACTTCAGAAATTTACCCAGAAAAACAACACTGTTTGATTCAGAGGTATGTTTCTGAAGTCACCTATAAAATAAAGTCCTCAATTTTAGCTTTTCCAAAAACAAACAAACAAACAAACAAAAACAAACAAACAAACAAACAAAAATCCTGCAAGAGAAGAGAAGCAAGGAATAGATAGATATAACTGTATTCCAGGTTGCCTCAATACTAACAAGATGGTGGCTTCCTACTTAGCAGAAGCAAAGCTCTAGACCTCAATAAGGAGAACAATAATGGACTGGGGATGTGGCTCAGTTCCATGCATCAATGAGGCTCTGGGTTCAATCCCCAGCACTGCAAAAGAAAAAAGAAAAAGAGTATAACAGTGCTGTTCAATAGCTGCCTCACCAGGGGCTAAGTGCATACCTGAGATGCAGGAAAAATGAAGTGGAGACTGATATAGGCAGGCCCCATCACTGACCAGGATATTCCATTATCCCTAGCCCCATAGGAAGAAAACAATTAAGAGAGACAAGACTTGACAGAAAAAAAAAATGATGTTTTTGAGAGAAACATCCCAGGAGTCCCTGATGCTCTTTCCGTGAGCATTTATGTCCCTGCTCAAGTTAAATATTTGTTTCCCTTAAAATTTACATACTGGTTTTCTAACCCAGGATGTGGTGATGGGATTAGAGGTGGGACTTTTTAGGAAGAGATTAGGTCATGAGGATAGTGCCCTCATAATGGGGACAGAATCCTTATAAAAATGAAATCCCAGAGAGCTCCCTTAAATCTTGACCTTGAACTTCCCAGCCTCCAGACTGTGAGAAATAAATCCCTGTTGTGTAAGCCACCCAGTCTATGGTATTATGACACAGTTGCCCCCATAGATTAGGAAAGTCCTGGCTGTAAATTTTCCAGCTTGGGCTTTGGGCGGATAATTTCCTGATTCACACAAAACCAGACTCAAGTGCAAAGTCTTTTATCCATTGGCATTTTGGCTTCAGTTTTTGTTTTGTTTTGTTTTGTTTTTCTTTTGGAAGATTTTATGTTTTGATTGAGGGAAGGATGTCATTTCCCACTGTGTACCAGAAGGGATGTGCAGGCAGTAAAAGTGAGACAAAAGCAAGGCAACCAAAAGCGACGGTCTCCACTCCGCCCCCCCCCCCTTGTGATTCTTACACTTTGGCTCCAGTTTGAGGAAATCATAGGACCAACAGATAAACCCCACCCTCACAAAGATCTTGTTATCCAAACATTGATTAAAAGCATGCTATTCAACAAAAGGCATCACAGCAAGAGATTAGAACCCTGGCTTCTAAATGCTAAATTTTGACCCAAAAGGTAAACATCAAGATGACTGTGAGTAAAACAATAAAAGCTCCATAATGCAAAAAGGGAGGACAGAGAAGCCAGATGGACTGGTGTACACCTGTGATCCCAGCAACTTAGGAGGTTGAGACTAGAGGACTGCAAGTTTAAGACCAGCCTCAGCAACTTAGCAAGGCCCTAAGTAATTTAGTGAAACTCTCTGTCTCAAAATAAAAAATAAAAAGGGGGGCTGGGGATGTGGCTCAAGCGGTGACGTGCTCGCCTGGCATGCGCAGGGCACTGGGTTCGATCCTCAGCACCACATAAAAATAAAATAAAGATGTTGTGTCCACCGAAAAATTGAAAAATAAATATTAAAAAATTCTCTCTCTTTTTTCTCTCTCTCTGTTAAAAATAAATAAATAAATAAATAAATAGGGCTGGGGAGGTGGCTCCATGGTAGAGTACCCCTGGGTTCAATCTCTAGTACAATAAATAAAGAGATAACAAAATAGTCAACGAGTAGATTGATAATTAACTGGGAAAAAAAAGAGTGAGGGCAGAGAGCCTTTTAAAAATCATTTTTAGCTGTAGATGGATACAATACCTTTATTTTATTTCTATTTGGGGCTGAGGATCAAACCCAGTGCCTCCCACATTCTAGGCAAGTGCTGTACCACTGAGCCAGCCCCAGCCCCAGAGAGCCTTTTCATGGTCCTCTAGCACGAAGAAAAGTCTTCTGATCTCCTCATCTATTACTTTATTTAATTTTCTCAGCAGTCCTATGAGGAAGGTAAGGGTAGGTAAGGTAACTGCCTCCATCTTACAGACAAACAGAGGCAAAGAGAGGTTAAGTGTACCACCCCAGGCTTCCTGGCTAGTTGTGTGCCAATGCTTTCTGCCCAATCTGACCCAACAGAGTTGAATTTCCAAATCTTCAAAATAGGTGCAAATCTAGCTGGGGGTCCTTCGGCAGATGAATCGCTAGGAAAAGAAAAGGAGACAGAGATATAGGGGAGATATGTAGAGTAGGAGACTTAGGACCAATCACTTAGTAAAAGGTATAAGAGTTCTTTCTGGGGTGATTAAAATGTTCTAAAATTAGATTATGCTGATGATTTCACAACTCTGTAAATACACTAAAGAGCACTGGTTTATACTGTTTAAATAGGTGAATTTTACAGTATGTAAGTTGAGTCTTGTTTTAAAACAAAGCTGTTTTTAAAAAGCATACCAATTATTTATAATTTTTTTAGTTGTTGATGGACCTTTATTCATTTATTTATAAGCAGTGCTGATTATTAAACCCAGTGCCTCACATGCTAAGCAAGTGCTCTACCACTGAACCACAAGCCCAGCCCAAAAGCATACCAGTTTTTTGAAAATGGGGGCAAGACTAAGTTTTGTGGCTACAGACATATTTGGGTGATAAAACTCTACAGAAAAGTACAGAAATGATTAGTGGGAAAGTCAGGACTGCTCTCAGGTGTTGCGGGGTTGTGATTGAAGTGGGGCACATGACAAAACAGCTTCTTCTCTTTTTTGGGGTGGGGGGTATCAGGGACTGAACCCAGGGGTATTTAACCACTAAGCCACATCACCAGCCCCCCCACTTTTTTTTTAAAGACAGGGTCTTGCCAAGTTGCTTAGGGCCTTGCTAAATTGCTGAGGTTGTCTTTGAACTTGTGATCCTCCTGCCTCAGCCTCCTGAGTTGCTGGGATTACAGGCATGTGCCACCACACCCAGCTACATACAGAGCTTCTGTGGTGGGCAACAGGTTTCATTTCTTGACCTGAATAGTAGTTTCCAGGATGTTTAAGACCCACATGTGTTTTGGGTAGTTTTCTGTATCTGTATTGTTATGTAATAAAATGATTTTTAAAAATAGGGGAATTTTCCAGGTACGGTAGTGTATGTCTATAATCTCAGAGTCTCAGAAGGATGAGGCAGGCAGATCATGTGAGGCCAGCCTGAGCAATTTAGTGAGGCCCTATCTCAAATTTTTAAAAAATGGCTGGGGGGCTGGGGATGTGGCTCAAGCGGTAGCGCGCTCGACTGGCATACGTGTGGCACTGGGTTCGATCCTTAGCACCACATACAAAAAAAGATGTTGTGTCTGCCGAAAACTAAAAATAAATAAGTAAGTAAGTAAATAAATAAATATTAAAATTTAAAAAAAAATGGCTGGGAATGTAGCTCAGCAATAGAGTATCCCTGGGTTCAGTCTCTAGCACTGCAAAATATAAATAAATACATACATAAATACACAAATAAATAAAGTAGGAAAAATCAAGTAAGAAATGACACATATGCCAGACAGACTATAAGGTGCCTCCCATGCACCCCACATTCTGGAGTTCTTACCCTTGTTTCATGCCCTCCCTTTAAGTGTGGGTGTGATCTATGACTTGCTTCTATCCAACAGAATAAGGCAAAGGTAATAGGATATGTGCCATTATATGTTTATGTAATTATTGTGTAAGATTTCACATCCATCTTTTTTATATATATAAATTAATACTGTGCATAGGAAGCCTTATTTTTTAAAAAATATAATTTTATTTATTTATTTATTTATTTATTTATTTATATGTGGTCCTGAGGATCAAACCCAGTGTGTCACACGCACTAGGCAGTGCTCTACCACTGAGCCACAACCCCAGCCCTTCATGTCCATCTTGCCAAGAGACTTTCTCTTCTTTATTGACTGGGAGGAGGCAAGCAACTCTGTTGCAAAAACTCAGGGGGTAAGGAACTGAGGGTGGTCTCCAGTCAACGGTCACCAAGAAATAGCAGCTGTCAATTCAACAACAAGAAACTGAATGCTGCCCACCACATGAGTTCCAGAGCAGATCCTTTCCTGGTTGAGCCTCCTGTGACACTGTGGCCCCAGCTGACATGTCAACTTCAACTTGAGAGACTCAGAAGCAGAAGCCTCAGCTAAGCTGGACGCTGACTCCTGACCCACAGAAACAGTGAGATAATAAATGTAAATTGTTTTAAACCACTAAATCCATAGTAATATCATTACACAGCGACTGATAAGTAATGTATGTCCCTTATGTTCTGGGGTCCCTGTGGCCACCCTTGCATTCAGTGAATCATTACCAGTTACAATTTACTGTAGTGAAAGGCCACAGAATAAAATCAGCAATAGAAAAAGGCACACAGAGCAAGAGAATTCCCAATCATCCATCCCCTCCCAGTGGGGTCCTGAGGACATTGCTTAATTTTCCCAGCAATGATGTGTGGCAATGTGGTTGGAGTACTGCCAATCAGGGAAGGTTCCCCAAGCCGCAGTATTCAATGCTTTTATTGGGGATCTGTCACATAGGCATGCCTCACTGCCCACATGGCTGACTTAATCTCTAGCCCGTGCAGAGGTCAAGGTGATACTGCATGGCCCAAAGCCCCCACTTAAACCAAGCCACTCATGCCAGGCAAGATATTTGAAGGGCTTATAGGTCCCCTCTCTTGAGTCTGTCAGAGGCCAGTCCTTTCTTTGAAATGTGCAGGGTTCAAGAACTTCAAGCCTGCTTTGTTAATCCTGTACCACACAAAAGGATGAACTTCAAAAGTGGGATTCTTAAGTTGAGTTGCCACCTGCTTGAAGGCAGAGAGAGAAGCCAGGAGACCACTGTGTTTTAACCCCTGAGGAAGCTTTATACTCGTACTTGATTTATGATCAGGGAGTTTCCAGGAGTTAGGCCATAGAGCCAGAAGGCAGGGTGCAGAGGAGAGGAGGCCGCCATCTCACACTCATACAGAAGCTTCTCCTGACTGGCCACTGAATAGAAGGCAAGCTTCCTCTCCTCCAGGTCCAGCCAGATGCCCACCACCCCAGGTCTGTCTGAGCCAAGGACAGTTTCTTTGACCATGGTCCATGCAGACAGCTGGCCAGTTCCCTTCCACTCTATGCACCAAGAGTCTGCAGTCCTTCCCAGCATCCGGTCTCGGCTCATGCCCCAAGAGGCCACTCCAACTGCCCAGTTATTGCAGCACTTCGTGTCCACTTCCCAGTAATGCCGCCCAGAAGACAGGGCCTGGGAACATAAGACCTGGCTGGTTGAAAACCTCTCTTGACTCCAAGGATAGGGCTGCCGGAATTGAGACACAGTCACTGTCCGGCAATCCTCTGATACCTTCAGGATACAGGAAAGGCTTCCCAAGTCAAAGGTTGGATTGATGATCCCTGAGGAGAAAAGTATACCACCACAAGATCAGCTGGCTTTGGATCATCCAGGCTAACATGTCATCTAATAGAAAAAGCAGCATTGTATTTTTTTTTGTGTGTGTGTGTGTGTGTGTGGTGCTGAGAATTGAACCCAGGGCCTTGTGCATGCATGTAAGGCAAGCACTCTACCAACTGAGCTTCATCCCCAGCTCAGTGTTGTGTTCTGAGGGGTGAAAATATTTTACTCATACATGCATTAAAATTGGTACACCAAGGGGATGCGGTTATAGCTCAATGGCAGAGCACTTGCCTAACATGTGTAAGGCACTGGGTTCGATCCTCAGCACCACATAAAAATAAATAAAATAAAATTAAGTCCATATACAACTAAAAATATATTTTTTAATTTATTTATTTAGATAGATAGATATATTCTAGATGTTGTTATATGAACAATACCCCATTCCTGCCTTACTTTTCTTTTTTTTGTACCAGGGATTAAACTCAGGGGCACTCGACCACTGAACCACATCCCCAGTCCTATTTTGTATTTTATTTAGAGACAGGGTCTTATTGAGTTGCTTAGGGCCTCGCCATTGCTGAGGCTGGCTTTAAACTCATGATCCCCCTGCCTCAGCCTTCCGAACCACTGGGATTACAGGTGTGTCCATATCCAGGTGCCTTACTTTTCACCTACCCATTAGTTATCTTTCAGGAAGCCCTCTCTTCCCGCTGGCTGAATTCCATGCAGCACAAAATCATCTCTTATTTTTCTCAATATTCCTATGCTTTACAAGTATGACTATTGCTATTGGATCTCTCTAGTTAAACTTTGGTTTTCTAATTAAGGTATGTATCTTATTCATCTTGTGTGTGTGTGTGTGTGTGTGTGTATATATATATATATATATATATATATATATATATATATATATTTAGCTGTAGATGGACACAATACTTTATTTTATTTATTTATTTATTTATTTTTATGTGGTGCCAGGGATCGAAGCCAATGCCTCACGCATGCTAGACAAGCACTCTACCAGTGAGCCACAACCCTGGCCCTCATCTTGTATATTTCATATTATTTCCCCCCCCCCTTTTTTTTCAGTGTTAGTGATCAAATCCAGGGCCTCAGACATGCTAGACAAGTGCTCTACCACTGAGCAATACCCCAACCCTTGTTGTTTCCTACTGAGTGAACAACTGCTAACTCTTGTGTGCCATGACCACTCAATGCATTATTTCACATACATGCACTTGTGCATCCTCATAGAAAGCCCACAAGAGAAATGCTATTGTTGTCACCATTTTACAAATGAGGAAACTGAGTCTCTAAGGGACGAAGTGATTCATCCAAGCTCACACAGCTAGTGATGCTGGGAGTCACACCCCCAGCTCCATGATCCATGCTCTTAAGGACTCCCCAGACTCGGACAGCAGTAGCACCTATGCAGGTGGGGGAACAGGCAGTTGGCTGTAATTGGTGACCCCTGCCTGGATATTCAAAGGTTGCCTGGGCTCTAAGTGCTCATGGGTCTAGCTGAGTCTGAAATTTGGGAGTCTCAACGCCTCTTTGCCTTTGTACTCAACTCCCCGTGTGGAGGGACCTATTCTGGACAACAAACACAACTACAGTCAGCCAGGGAGTGGGCCTTGCAGCGGGAAGACAGACAGCATGTTCTTCCTTTTCTCTCTACCTTTTTCTTCTTTTAAATATTTATTTTTTTTAGTTGTAGCTGGACACAATACCTTTATCTCACTTATTTATTTTTATGTGGTGCTGAGGATCGAACCCAGGGTCTCGTACATGTGAGGATAGCACTCTACTGCTGAGCCACAACCCCAGCACCCCCCAGTTGTTTTTCTTCAATATTTTTTTTTAGTTGTTATGGACCTTTATTTTACTTATTTATTTATATGCGGTGCTGCTGAAAATTGAATCCAGTGTCTCACACATGCAAAGCTAGTGCTCTACCACTGAGCCACAGCCCCAGCCCCCAAACCTGAGTTTTAAATGGACCACATACTTACACTGAGCAAAACGAGAGGTCCTCCTAGGTTGAGGGCAGCTCTGGTCAGGCAATGAGGAGGAAGACAGAGCTTTCGGGAATTCCACTAAGGAATCAAAAAAAAAAAAAAAAAAGGAAAGAGAAAGGCCCATCAGTAAAGGCATACTGAAGGTATTCAAGTATCACATCCAGGCACGTGGCTTACTTTATACTGTGGCACACTTCTGATCAGGCAATATATTCAGCCCAGGTACAGCTAGCTCCTGAGGACACTGTGGAATTTTTTTTTTAAATAGTTGGGCACAATACCTTTATTTTGTTTATTTGGTTTTTTATGTGATGCTGAGGATGGAACCCAGGGTCTCACATGTACTAGGCTAGTGCTCTACCACTGAGCCACAACCTCAGCTCTGGAATATTTTTTAATACATATATATTTTTTAGTTGTTGATGGACCTTTACTTTATTCATTTATATACGTGGTGCTGAGAATCTAACTCAGGGCCTCACACATGCGAGGCAAGCGCTTTACCACTGAGCCACACCCCCAGCCCCTCACCGTGAACTCTTACTGTTTGTTTCCCCAGTAAGCCCTAAGGTCCCGGCTTCTTGTTCATCTGTGTATTCTAAGCATGAAGCCCCATATGAGCCCTACATATAGAAAGTATCTGTTGCATTTTTAAAAAATATTTTTTAGTTTTCAGTGAACCTTTATTCTATTTATTTATATGCAGTGCTGAGACTCGAACCCAGTGCCTCACACATGCTAGGCAAGTGCTCTACCACTGAGCCATAACCCCAGCCCCTTGATGCATGTTTATCAAAGAAATTAACTAATACAGTTCCAGGGGTGTGCATCCTCCTGATACCCACCATACTCATGATCCCTGTGTCAATGCCTTAAACTACTGCTATATAAACTGGTAAGATTTGTCTAAACTGCTGCTACCTCCTAACTTGTCTCAAAGTACAAAAGTTGAATTGTTAACTCAAAGCAACTATATGTGCTAGACTGCAATGACCATAACAGAGTAAGAGAAAGTAAAGAAAGCTGGGT